AGAGGTGCCTACAGGTTGGCAGTCAAAGGTTTCTAACGGTCGCATCTCTGGACATGGATGGGGGAGCCAATGCAAATTGGAGCTGTCAATAAGTCCATTTCAGAGGAGGAAATGGGGAAAAGCAAAGAGATCTGTGCTTCTGTTTTTACTTGGAGTTTCAGAGCATATTGTCAGGACCTACATAGTGAGAAAACCAACAATGGGAACTAGAGCATCTGAACAACCCGCCAGCAAGTACCTACTCTCATCCACAGGTGCTAACCAGGAGAACACCACTAGCCTCCATCATGAGAGCTCACTGGAGGGAACCAGCCAGCAAATAAAAGAGAGCTCAAGATGAAGGGGGTAAGAAGAATTTTTTCTTACTCCTATCACTATAATCTTAGAATTGAGGTATAAGGTAGAAATAAAAGCTTCCATCTCATCACAAACTTTATAGATGTAGAGGTGGTGCATAAATTGCAGCAAAACTACCAAGATTTGTAGTAGAAGAGACTATAGATGGCTAGACTTTGAAGGTGAGTCCTATTTTGCAATTCACTGCTCTAGTGCAGCTGGCAATTGACATGGAATTCTTGGCCTTGTATGTGACAGCTTCCTCGCAAGTACCTGTGGTGCTAGTTCTGTTCCTGATTGCAGCTCCATAAACCATGAGTGGATTGTGCGACTGGAGCAATCTCATTTCTCTCTCCATTGAGCGCAAACTTCCATAGCTCTCCTTGGTGCTTATAATGAGCATCCAGCCAGAGTATGTAGAATACCTACTAAGAATTCTGATTTTGCGGATGTCTTTGGAGAGCAGGAGGAGGCCACCGCACTTCCACCTCATAGGGACTGTGATTGCACAATTGACCTGAAACCTGGAGCAAAAATCCCAGGCAAGAGACATCATTCCATGTATATCAAAGAGCTTAGTATTTTAAAGGAATACTTTGATGGTCTGCTAAATCTCTCTTTAAGATTTCCCCCTAAGTCCCCAGCCTCTGTTCCAATCTTTTTCATTGCAAAGAAATGAAAAAGTGCACACCTAGGATCTTAATAAGAACATGATCTGGGATCATTATCCATTTCCTGTAATAGCAGACCTGTCAGACAAGCTGCAGAACATCTGCATCTTTAGATCTGAAGAATGTTTACAATCTCAGTCAGGTAAAAGAAGGACTTGAGTATCTGACTGCCTTCAATATAAGATACAAAAGTTTGAATATATTGTGATGTTATTTGGACTAGCAAATTATGGAGCATTATTGTCGAGATTAATGAATCATGTTTGGAATACTTCCTTTTTTAAAAAAAACATCAATATTTTAAATATCAAAAGAAAAGCTATGGTCTCCAGCACTGTCTTAATTTTCAACAGGCCCTCCTGTCTTAATTTTCAACAGGCCCTCCCTGTAGTCTAGTGTTTAGTTCTATGACAGTCTGCCTAGATAAATGAAATATTAATAAAGAAAGGCTCAACTTGCTTTTGGGTAAGTGCATCTTTTGTGACTAATCAAAGAAGCTATTTTGTAAAGGCATTTAGAACAATTTTGTAAGCGCACCTAAATTAATTTTTCAGAATTCTTGATATGCCTATGGCATCTAGGCCGTAATTAGATAAACCTGTCAGGTTTCACAATATGGGATAGGCAGTAAAATAAGATCTGTTACTTTATAGCTTAGATCAACATCTTCGCTTGGGAGAAGACACATAGACACATCCCTGTCTCTCACTCTCTTTTAAACATGACATCAAGATTAAGTGGTGGCTGGCAGATTCCGAGTTGGTAAAACTGATTTACATATATCAAGGATTGATGGTGAAGATGATATTTGGTTAGATCTGGTTAGGAGCTATACTTTATTGTTATAGGGGTATAATAACAGATTTTTGAAAGACTCCCAGAATATCCCTCTGTCTCCCTTTACACAAAACAGAATCAAACTGAGTTCACCTTGAGTTTGTTTCACACCTCATCTTTCCCAGGACTGAGTTGACATTTATACTTAGTATTTCTTGGATTTCTTTTTCATGGTTATTGCTGAACTCTTATATGTGTGATGGGTGGATAGGAAGGGGATTATATGGCTTGTTTGAATGCTTTGCAGAAGCTTGTACACCCTTAATCATACTTGTGGTTGACTTTTAGCAAGCCACGATGAGAATGGTGTCTAATTATTCTTGATCTTTCAGCAGCTTTTAATACTGTTGATCTAATTGTTTAGGAGTTTTGGGGTGTGGTATGCTGCCTTCCTTTGAGGCTGGTTCTAATGGGTGTTGGGAGGGGGAAGAAATTGGGCCATGAGCCATTTTTTACCCATTCCTATTTAATCCACATGAAGCTACGAGATCTTCTGTTGACAAGGGATTAAGTGCTATCAGTATTTGTGTGTTCGTTTATTTATTTTTATTCTCCCTTTATTATTTTTACAAATAACTCGAGGCAGAGAACATATCCATATTCCTCCTCCTATTTTTCCCACAACAATAGTATGCTGATGAGACTCAATTATATAACTCTACTCTAGATCATTTAGTGTCTGGTAGCTCACTGGATGAGATGGAACAGGCTTGGACTCAACCTTTTGTAGAGAGTAAGAAATAGGATTTAATGATCTCCTCCACCCACTCCCCCGCCCTCATTTCTGGAGACCGTCTTCTGTTAACTCCATGTGTAGTACCATTCTCCTAGACCGAGTTGGCCAGGGCCAAGGGGGCCTTTGTCTAAATCCATGTTGTGCATAAATTGTGACTATTCTTAGATTGAGAGATTCTGCTAATGGTCACTCATGCCTGAATCATTTTAGTCACTTCCCAGTTGGACTGTTGCAATGATCTCTACACAGGTACCATTTTTAAAGCATTTGGAAGCTGCAGCTTATCCAAAATATGGTGGTGTGGCCCATTTTGGGTGCACCATGTTATGCTCATGTAACACCACTGCTGTGTGGGCTGCTTTGACTTTCAATAGGTTTTTAGGTGCAATTCAGCATGCTAGTTACCACTTTTAAAGCATAGGGCCAGGATACTTGGTGGACTGCTTGTTTCTCCCTGTTCCACCTGATTTGAAAAGATGGCCATGTGCCAGATCCCTTGTGTGAAACAGTGTTATCTTATGAGACCTAAGAGGTATGCCTTTTCTGTCACAGTGCCTGTCTTGTGGAACAGTCCTCAGTCCCACCCCTGAGGTTCGGAAGGCCTCAACCTTATTGGCCTTTCAGATGTCCTTAAAAAGGGAGTCATGATGATAGTGGAATCCAATGTATGTGTTTTGCTCTGTGATGATGGAAGAACCGATTCTTTTATCAGGAGTCTTTTATTGTTATTGTTGCTGCTTTTTAATGTGTTTGTTTTTATTACTTGTTAGCCACTTAGAATGATTTAATTAAGATTGGTAGCCATGTACATTTGTAAAATAAATGCATCTTGGCTAGGTTAAAATACTTATTCCAGACAAAGTTATGATTGCCCCCTCATTGCCAAAGCAAAGGTATACTTTTAGGGATTTAAACATAGGTTTCTTCTTCTTACCTTCATGAAGTGTCTGATCCTTGGTGTAAATACTTGGTGGTCTGTGCAGTTCCTGCATGCTTGCGTAATGCCCATCTCTGGCCTGGAAACTTGTTTCCCACCTTGCCAACCTTAGTCTTTACAAAATCTGTGACAAAAATTTCCCTTATAATTCAGGAATAGTAACACGCAGGTAGTCCTCTTTAATGGCCACAACTGTTACCTGCAATTTGTCATTAATCAAAGCAATTGCTAACTGATACCATGACTGCGATTCTGATCGTGCTTCAGCTTTCCTTTGCTTTACAGGCCTGCAAAGGTCATAAATGTGAAGATTGATCATAAAATTTACTTTTTTATCACCATCATAACTGTACATAGTCGTTAAACCAGGGTCACCTTTACTATACTGTTATTTGTGACACCTAATACAATTATACTTCATGACTGTAAAGAATAAAAATTATGATACGATTAGTAAAATAATAGAGAAGCTGTTTTTACCTTTAAATCTAAAAACACCCTGTGTTGCTTAAAACACCCTTTGTCAATAGCTTGTTAGATGTGTGCTATTTATTTAACAACTGGATACTTAGCTTGCTTTTATAACTTGTGGCTATAATAGGATTACCTCAAAGCATTTTTGTACTTTTGTGATGACATGTTTCAATTATATTAGAGTGTGAATGCTTTTACAACAACATCAATTAACAATGGTTGAGGCTGCCAGAAGAGCCAGAACTTTGTATCTTCCTTGACACCTGAAGTGGTAAAAGAGGAAGTAAAGAAGGAGAAGTGAATGCTTTTTTCATATCCGTATTCTCTTTTTTTGTTCTTTTTTTTCCAGGAATTTCATTAAGATGCTGCTATCAATAGGAATGTTAATGTTGTCTGCCACTCAGATTTATACTATTCTCACAGTTCAGCTGTTTGCTTTTTTAAACCTATTGCCAGTAGAAGCTGACATCTTAGCGGTAAGTTTTATAATTATTTTATAGCATAAAATATTCTTCAAAAATGGTACTCAACCCTTTAAACCTAGTTCCATGTTAGATACACTCAAATATTTCACTAGATCCTATGGCTAAATTTTCCCTAGCACATATCCTAACTGACATTTCCTACTGATCTTTACTATCTCAGCTATCTATAGCATCCCCTACCTCATTATATTGCTTCTCATTAAGCGATAATCCTTTATGTTGCTGTTCTCTCCCTTGTCTTTCCCACCTTCTTGGCTTTCCTTTTATGAACCTTCTTGCCTTCATAAAAAAATAAAACTTCTTTTGAATCTGATGCGGCTTCACTCATTAGCAGAATGGCTCTATCCCATTTAGAATTTAGCCCTAATGCCTTATTCAAAGATCATTGTGGCCCTCAGTTCAATTTAGCTTTTCCAAAGCCTTATTCCACAGATGTACAAACTGTCAATGGCCAAATATAGTTTTAGCAAAATGAGTTGAGAGCCTCTTTGCTACTAGGGCAGCGGTTCTCAACCTATGGATCGCGACCCCATTTGGGATCGATCAACCATTTCACGGGGGTCGCCAAGCAAGGCTGTCCGCCATTTTTTCCCCTTTTCCGGCAGGTGCCTTACCTCCCTTGAGCTGGGCCAGCTGGTGGTCGGCCTGCTCCGTCTCTGCCGCTTGCCAGCTATGCCTTGGCCGGTGCAGGGGGCGGAACCATGCATGTGCGGTGCTCCCGGGCAGGGAAAGTCCTCGACTTATGACCGGTTGGGTAGTCCTTGACTTACGACCGGTTTAGTCCTCGACTTACGACCGGTTGGGGGTCGCGGCATTAAAAAGGTTGAGAACCACTGTACTAGGGCAAAGTGGAAACTATGCTTGCTTACAGCAGGTGAATGTATCTACAGAAAAGCATACACACAAATTTTTGTTCAACCACTTTTTTAATAAATTGTCTTCCATCTTCTCCCAATTTAAGTCTTAAAAACACTAAGTTAATTGTAGCTTATGAGCAACATGTGATATATGAGTAATGAGTTGGGGAGCCACACAGGGAGCAATCTCTGGGTCAAAGTGTGTGCCCATATTTTATCTAGTAGCCTCTGCAGAAGTCTTTTTCTCCAATATCATTTATCCCAGAAGAATCTCTGTTGCTCTTTTCTGTGATTTGCTTTTTCAATGCCTGCTATGTAAGCCATGTCTTAGTACAGAATATTTCTACTTAATAAAAGAATTTCAGTATTTCTCAACAAAAATTAGTGCTTAGATTTCTCTCCATGTTTATTCTCTGCTGATAACAGGTTTTCAATGCTGTAACTGCACTGTAAGTAATAATAATTTTAACTTGTTCTAGATTATGTTTAAGTTAGTTTAATATTGAAAAAGTAATATATAAAATTTAAGTAAGTTTTATATAATTGTTAATTCCCTTTTTTGAGTGCAGTAGACAGAATAGAAGCAAAAAGCTGATTGAATTTCTAAATGTTGAGTTTTTCTGCCTTCCTGGCACTTTCTGACTCTGATTTTCCATAAAAAGAAACTAGTTTACACTCTCTATATTTATTCATGGATTTGGTTTAAACATAAGTCTTAATAAATGAAAACAAAATATATTTTATATTTAAGCTATTTCAAAATTAGAAATGTCTTGCTCTTTGCTTTGTAACCATCTTTTTTGCAAAGATTGTTGTTTAACTCAAGAGTATGCTATTTGTATTCTACCATACAATTATATAATAATATTTTATATGGCTAATTTTGCAGTTTAATACATGATATATGGTTTTGTGTTTCTTGTGTATTATAGTTTAATTTTGAAAATGCAACACAGACATTTGATGACTTACCAGCAAGATTTGGTTACAGGTTACCTACTGAAGGTTTGAAGGTAAGAAATAATTTGAAACAGATTATGGAATATTTTTTTTAAAAAATCCTCATTCATTTATGACATTTTATGACTCTTTATCATAAATTTAAATAGGTTGTGATTTATTGGCCAGTGTTAACTGCAACAGATTTGCTATAGCTATGCTTTGAAAAACTATAAATATAAGCACATAAATTTATGACATTTGATTCATTCAATTACATAGCATGTATGGATATAGATATATTAATTACAATTTGATCCTAGACGTTTGCTCTAAAAATAGTGTAACAAAAACCCCTTTCGAATTTCCCCAAGATTTTATTTTAAACTGGAAACTAGAGCACAATTCCATTGAAACAGATTGTTTTTATTATGATACAAGTAGTCCTCGAATTACAACCACAATGGAGCCCAAAATTTCTGTTGCTAAGCAAGACAGTTAAGTGACTTTTGCCCCATTTTACGACCTTTCTTGCCACAGTTGTTAAGTGAATCACTGAAGTTGTTAAGTTAGTAACATGGTTGTTAAAGTTAATCTGGCTTCCCCATTGACTTTGCTTATTAGAAGGCCATAAAAGGTGATCACATGACCACAAAGCACGGCAACCATCATAAATACATGCCAGTTGCCAAGCGTTTGAATTTTGATCACATTAGAAAAATCTAATGTCTTTTACTTTCTAAAATTGCAGCCAAAATTAAAATCATAAAATTGAAATGGCTAGTGTAGGGTGTTGAGTCTTTACCCTGTGCTCAGTGTGTAAATTTAGTTTTGAAATATTCTTCAATCCCAGTTACTTCTTGGAACTTTATTCACTGAGACTGGAACACTGCAGTGATAGTGTTACCCTGATGGTAATTTACTGACTATACAAATTGTCATCTGCTGCTCAAAGAGAAATTTGGGGGGATTCTTGTTTAAACAAAACATTAAGTTCTTGCCATTTGAAATACTAATTGAGTGCTTTGAGGTAATGTAACCTAATCCAGCTGTAACTGAGTGCATCATCTCTTAATCTTAGATCTTTGTATTAATGAACATCTTCAGCATATTTATGTTAAATGTTGATTCTCTGACTGGATTGTTGCTCTGAGTGCAGTTCATCGTAGAAAAATGGAAAATAATAAGCCCGTGTATATTGTATAATTTTCTCTAGTGTCCCGTAATCCAGAGTTCTCCAACCTTTCCGGGTTGGTAGCCTGGAGCACGGGGAAGGGGGAAAGAAGGGATGGTTTTCTGTGGGGGGGGGTAATGTATGTGCGCGTGTGTGCGCACATGAACACCCATTGCGGTGACACCAGCGCTTGCACGTGGACCTGCAAATACCTACAACACTCGCAGAGTGGGGTCACAAATGCCCATGATGACAGTCGAACGAGTAAGGCCTTGAATGCTTGTGATGATGCTCACGCGAGTGGGGCTGCAAACACCCATGATGACACTTACCACTCATGTAGCAAATAGCCCACGGCCCAGAGCTTGGGGACCCCTGCCTTATTCTCCATCACCTTGTCTTTCTGAGTAAGAACTCTCACTGTTCCAGCTATTGACAATACCTTGATAACACGATGCCTGTTACCATCTTTTACATAAGTACTTTTCAAATCAGAAACTAGGTTCTGAATGTAGGTCTGTTGATTAGAATAATTCTCAGCTTCCGTGCAGTGTCTTCAAGGCTATACTGAGCATTGGGTCAGTATATATTCTTGTGGTATTCCTATCAAATATCATATTCTCAACTATGGGAACAAATTATGCATCTTATTTTCTGTTGCTCTCATTTTTCTCTTGGTTTGAATAGAAGAGTTATTATACATTATACATTATTATACATTATTATAACAATATTATTATTATGTACTACTAACTTACTTTGATAACAATTACAAAGGCAATATTTCTTAGAATAAACAGCTTGAGAATTCTGTCATCTAAATTGCCAATGTACAGTCAAAACATTATACTTGTTTTCAGAAGCATTTGTTTCTTTATAGGCCTTAATATGCAATAATAGCTAGTGCCAAGATAAAAAAGAATTGCAGTATGTTGTACCTATATTTCTAGAGTGATTTATTCTGAGAGTGCTTTGGTTTATTTCGATATTGACTGAAATCTTTGTCACTTGTCTTCAAAAGCAACTACAAGAAAATTGGCAAATTAGCATCTCAAGATAAATAATGTATTAGTTATCAGATCGTATTTCTGGAAATGCTGTAAAATGCATCAGAATTTTTTTTAGCATGTACCAAAGAGATCTTGAATTATTGTCTACTGCTCTAATAGTTTTTAAAAGAAATTAATATATAGGCCCCTCATGGAACATGAGAAAAGTTAATGGAGAAAATCTGTGTGGTCAGTAGGAATCAAAAACCACTTGATGGCACATATCAATCAGTCAATCATGGAACAGTGCCTTGTAGCAATGAAAGACTTGCACATCTCAGTGACATTCAGCTATACCATTAGGAGTGTCTACTTTCAAAAGGGTAACTCATAGAAAATGGAACAGATAGAATACAGTCCATTTGAAAAGGAATGGGAACCCACTCCAGATTTCTACCAAGAAAGCCACATAGATTTTCAAAGCCAGGACAATGTCAATATAGTACTTGAAGGCGAGCCCCATATGTTAAGAAGGTATAGAATGAACATTCAGTGGGAAAGTATCCCACTGCAAAGAACAAAGGAAAAATAGGAATAGCTTTTATGTTGGAGATGTGCCTGGATTCAAACTGAAAGAACATCCAGCTGCTGGTGTCAAAACCATGAATCAAGTGAATATCAGACAGAAGTATTGGGATTCACCACGTTGACATTCTAGGAATCAGCAAAACATCCTCAAGTGATACTGTATTAATTATAGAAGAATGGAATGCTGAAATTGGAATCAAACAGCATCTGCACTAACAGGAAAAACAGTGTTTTGAAATTTTAGCAGATTATAATAGGCAAATTACACTAGAAGCCATCAAGATGAGTACATTTGTCACAGGATGGACAATACTGGAATCAAATTAAGTATGTAGTGTGCAAGCAAGGATGGAGGAGCTTTCTTCAGATATCAAAAATGAGGCCTAGGTTGATTGTGGTTCACATGAAATAATTCTTATAAGATTACAAACAAAACTAAAAAAACAGGCAACAAGATAATCTTATCAATATTCTGCATAGTAACGCAATGGAGGTAAAGAATAGATTTAGATTTAATAAACGGATTGCTTGAAGATCTATGTTCTGAAATTAATGATAAAATAAAAATACCTTGAGTGGAAAAAAGCAAAAAGAAGATGAAATGTCTGTTTGGCCAGTATATTGGAAAGAGTGGCAAAAAGTAGAAGGTGATAGTGAAAATTTGCCAAACTTAAAACACTAAGTTCCAGAGAAGAGCAAGGGGTAAGGAAGTACATTTAAATAAACAGTGGAAAGAAATCGAGGATAATTGATCTGGAAGTGCAAATTATTTAAGAGGTTTACATAAATCAGTGCAATTTTTATGAAAAGAACAAACACTGTGAAAGGCAAAGAAGACAAAAAGATATTGAAGAAAAAAGATATAAAGAAGTGATAGTAGAAATATATGGGAAAAAATGTACGAGAGGATCCCCTATGGTGATATATACTCTCTCTTTGTGTGTGTGTGTGTGTGTGTTTGTGTGTGTGTAGTTTGATTTCTGAACTAGAGCCAGGGATCTGGAAACTAAAGTGAAATGGACTGTAGGAAATATTGCTAGCAATGAGTTGTGAGATTAGATGAAATATCAGTTAACTATTTAAAGCAGTGGTTCTCAACCTGTGGGTCAGGACCCCATTTGGGGTCAATCGACCATTTCATGGGGGTCACCAAGCAAGGCTGTCCGCCATTTTTTTGTCCACCATTTTTTCCCCCCTTTTCCGGCGGGTGCCTTACCTCCCTTGGGCTGGGCCAGCTGGTGGTCGGCCTGCTCCGTCTCTGCCGCTTGCCAGCTACGCCTCGGCCGGTGCAGGGGCGGAACCACGCATGCGCGGCGCTCCCGGGCAGGGAAAGTCCTCGACTTACGACCGGTTGGGTAGTCCTCGACTTACAACCGGTTTAGTCCTCGACTTACGACCGGTTTAGCCCCGACTTATGACCGGTGTAGTCCTCAACTTACGACCGGTTGGGGTCGTGGCATTAAAAAGGTTGAGAACCACTGATTTAAAGGTTATTTTATTTTCTTATTTTATTGATTAAATGTATATGCCACCTATTTCCTGGCTCGAAGCAACTTTAAGATGATATGCTTAAAATGCTAGGCTTGCTGCTTGTAAAGTGATATGAAAAAAACCTTTTATTCCAATATTAAAAAGAGCAGTGTTAAAGAATGCTCAAAGCACAAATTGCATTTATCTCACATGGCAGTAAGAAAATGCTCAATTTTTTTCCTATCCAGGCTTTAGCATGCACAGAAAGAGCCACAAGGTGTATAAGTTCGATTCAGAAGAAGCAGAAGCATCTGATATTATATTGCAAACATCTGATGGATAATGGAAAAGGCAAGGGAGTTTCAAACATAAATTATTTTTTTTGCTTTATTAATTATATAACTGTTTTTAATTCTACAAGCCACAACAAAAAACCTTAAAAACACTGGATTACCTCATCTACCTGTTGAATAATTTATGCGATCACCAGGAAATAACTGTTAGAAGGAATATGGAGCCAACTAGATTCGAAAAGGAGTAGGCCAAGATTGAATGCTGTGGTTTCTTAAAAAAATAATTTTTATGCAGAATGCCTGAGAAGAAAAAACAGAAACTGGAATTAGGTTTGCTGGGAGAAACATCAGCAACCTCAGATATGCTAATGATGCCATTTTGATGGCTGAAAGAAAAGTGGAAGTAACTACAATAAGTTACTCTTATTGAAAGTAAAAGAATAGAAAAGCCAATCTGCTGGTCAATATTTCTTTTAAAAAAAGATTCTGTCAACAAGCAATGACAGCCCAATGTGAACAGACAATAAGGAAACGGAAGTAGTTACAGACTTCATTTTCCTAGGCTCAAAGATTCACAGTGGTATTTATAAAATAAAGTGACATCTGCTATGGCAACATTCTAGACAAAATGCTAAAATGCAAAAATAACACACCAAGAGCAAAAATATGTTTTGTCAAGACTATGGTTTTTCTAGGTGAAAAATGTACTTTGAAAGCTTGTTTATTAGAAACGTTGAACAATAAAAAAGTGATGCCTTTGAATTGTGGTGCTGGGGAAAATTGAGAATACTTTGGATTGTAAGAATAAATAATTCAGTACTCTATAAAACTACAGAGCTCACCAGAAGATGAAGGTAAACATTAAATATTTTGGACCTATACCATGAAGACAAAGAGTAATTGGAGAAGACCCAATACTTGTTGAATCAGAAACAATTAGTAAAAGGGTTGACAGAAAACAAGATGGCAAAATACTATTATTGAGCTTACAAGAATTGACAGGAGAACTTATTGATAGACAATCATGGTAAACTGATGTCCATTGTGTCACAGAAGCAACTAAATAATTAGCAATTACATATTGGGGTATAATTAAATACATCTAAAAGGCAGGCACATTTATCTGACAGGAGTTGAATTCTGTGTCTTAACAATTAGGCAATAGAAAGTTAAAGTTCACTTAATTATTGTGGCAAAAAAGGTGGTGAAATTAATAACTTACTTAATAACTGCATCACTTAGTGATAGAAGTTCCAGTTCCAATTGTGGTCATAAGTTGAAGACTACCTGAAAAGGAACCCCTCTTTTTAAGCTTTGATTCAATAAGTAAGTAATAGTTGTACTGTATACTATTTCCTTCTCTAGTGATTATGCCCAATAGGGCCAAGGATCCTGAGCGGGTAAGAAGTTTTCTATGTTTTTCCCTTCTCAAGAGATATATTTAAAATGAAAATTAAATAAAAATTTTATTCTGCTTCTTGTGAAAATACCTAAAATGCATTAATAAAAATGTGCTTAAAATACTATAGAATTGGCACGCTGCAACAAAGCTTTTTAATATATGCTTAAAACTGAAACTTTTATAGCCTATCTGTGTATTTAAGTATACACTTAAGTGGTTTGTTGGATCAGTGCCCATGTGAAATAGAGTTGGAAGCATAGCTCAGTTGCACTTGAAAGTTGTCATTATAAGTTATACTGTACCTTGACATTTGATTAATTTTAATTTGTATTGGACTTTAGGATATTAGGATTCTGATTTCTTCCTTACCTGGCAAAGGATGCTGATTACAGTGATGTCATACTTGCACCATTAACAGTTTTGACTGATTTAGATGAAACTTTCATCATTTTTTTTTATCCCAAAGAGAAGAATTTAAAACAGGCAATCATAAGTAAACTGAACTAATTGCCATGTTTTGTAATAGAAACTTTGTAATTTAGATTTTAAAATGTTGGTGTAGTTCCACAAAACAGATAGGATGAGTTGTTTTGTATTGCGCTGCATGACTCTTTTCTCATAAAGAGGGGAAGGGAATGTTTAGAAGAGCATCCTTTCCCAGCAACCGGTACTAGAGATATTAGTGCTTATTTGGAGAATCGCATAGTTGTTAATTGTGGCAAAGGGTAGTTTCCTGGCCATGAGAGTTTGGCTTATGAACATCCTGTAATTGATAGCATAATGAAGGCAGCGGTACAGTACAGGAACACTGAGTGTTCTCCTTCCAGCACAATATTTTTTTTTCTTTCTCAACAGAGAATACACAGAGTGTACAACAAATTTGCCAGATGGTTTTCTCTGTTTCTGCTGCTCTCTTTTCAAACTGGGTCATACTATAAGAAATTATCTCACAAGAGCTGAAATTCCGTGATAGAATAAGCCAGAGTGACTGCCTTTTTTAAAAACTAATGCCAACTAACCACCTAAAACTATCCACTAGAGGGTATCATAGCAACTTCTGTGAAATTAAACCAATGCAGATATTTTGAATGAGATGTTAACGTTTATATTACCTTCTTAGGCTGCGTATATTTGGCTGATATATTTTAGATTTCACAAATACCAGTATAACATGTTAATTGTATTATTTGTTAATATACTGATGATATTCAGTTATACATTACAGATCAGACCAGGCTGGAGATGATTTGGAGGTGCTGAGTTGGTACTCTGACCTTGGGAGGGAGTAGACGGGATAAAACAAGTTCAGATTAAATCCTAGCAAGATGGATATACTGGTTTTTCTCAGGAACTCTTAACTCTGATTCAATTCCAATGATAATTCTGGGCTAAGCTCCCCACTTCTTCAAAAGTCAGTCAGTCCTCCTGCAGCAGTGGTAGGGGGTCCTTTGTCTAGCTACAGTTCCTGGACTGAGGTCGCTATTGAAGGAAATTGAAAAACTGCAGTTGACAGAGACTACAGTAACCAAGCATTTAC